AAAAACTATTGTACATAGGGAAAAAAGGAAATGAAGTTAGCAATAAATATGAAGTATAATTATAGATATTTTTTATCAGACTTACAAACTTCAAGGAGAAGGATAGAAGATATGTTTCAACAAATCCAGCTCAAAATTAAAGCTATCTACCTAAAATGCCCCCGAGATCTACTAGTGGCTCACAGTTTGGTGACCACACAACTCAAACAACATTTATTTTTACACTTTGTTTAAATTTATGGTTTACGCTGGTAAGAAAATTAAAGGAATGAGTTAAAATCGTTAACAACACTTTTTGACTCATTATTTTTACTACACTATTATTGTTATTGGTACATATATTATTTACGTAGATCTTAATCAAAGACATCAGTGTGTGCAGTAACCAACCCACCTTATTTCTGGATCTACTAGTCGCCCGAAATCTACAAAATAGCGACCACAGTACTCTAAAAGCATTTATTTTTAAGATTGTTTGCACTGATAAGAAAATTAAAGGAATGAGTTAAAATCGTTAGCAAAACTTTTTGACTCATTATTTTTACTACACTATTATTGTTATTGGTAAATATATTATTTACGTAGATCTTAATCAAAGACATCAGTGTGTGCAGTAACCAACCCACCTTATTTCTGGATCTGCTAGTCGCCCGAAATCTACAAATTAGCGACCACAGTTCTCTAAAAACATTTATTTTTAAGATTGTTAATACTGATAAGAAAATTAAAAGAATGAGTTAAAATCGTTAGCAAAACTTTTTGACTCATTATTTTTACTAAACTATTATTGTTATTGGTACATATATTATTTACGTAGATCTTAATCAAAGACATCAGTGTGTGCAGTAACTAACCCACCTTATTTCTGGATCTGCTAGTCGCCCGAAATCTACAAATTAGCGACCACAGTTCTCTAAAAACATTTATTTTTTAAGATTGTTAATACTGATAAGAAAATTAAAAGAATGAGTTAAAATCGTTAACAATACTTTTTGACTCATTATTTTTACTACACTATTATTGTTATTGGTAAATATCTTGTTTACGCAGGTCCTAATCAAAGACATCGGTGTGTTCAGTAACCGACCCACGTTATTTCTGGAAGCAGAGCCATTTCCAAAGACATTGGTCGGTCTTCGAGATAAAAGATGGAAAGAAGTCAGGAATATTGTCACTCCTACTTTCAGTTCAGGAAAAATTAAGCAAATGACAGACATTGTCTCCAAGAAGGTAAATAAGAAACACTCTTCCATTTTTGTGGTTTAGTATTTTTCTGCAATAAACTCTAAATATTGCTAAAAATTGAATCGCCACAGAAATTTCAGACATGCTAGGCTGAACTAGATCAGTCCTACCAATTGGGTATAATATAGCCTACGTCACAGGTTGTGTTGTTCCTACTAAATTTAACCCATGAACGGCATTTTCTGCGAGCCTAACTTCAAGCCACAAATAAACAAACGAAGTGTTCGATCGTTTAAGTAGCTGCTCGTCAGATTTTATTGCATTATAAAGAGAAGTTATTGAAACTAAATACAACTAAATAAACAACAACAACTAAAACAAATAACAACAACTACTAATAACAATAACTAAATAAACAACAACTAAATTCCATTCGTTTAGCATTGCGTCATATGTTGTTCCTACTAAATCGAAGTAGTTGTGTTTTTTTCATATTATACCCAATTGCCAAACTAGTTATTTAATGGAAACAATTCGTTTTACCTCTCATTTGCATTGCTCTTTGAAATCAATTGACAGACAATTCGAGAGATACATTAAAGAGATATCAGCTTAAGCATTTCTGTACTGCAGTTTTTCAAGCAAAATCTCTTTATTAATATTTTCTTTGTTTTTATCTGAATTTCTTTTTCTTTATAGGTTGATATAACTGTTGACCTTATAATGAAGGAATCAAAGAAGAACGAAGCATTCAATATCTATAAAATGGTGCAAGGACTGACGTTAGACGTGATTGCAGCCTGCGCCCTTGCAATGAAAACAAGTTGCCAGGAAAATCCTAATGATGCTCTTCTTACTAATGTAAGAATAAAATATCATATAATTTCAATGATTTTTTCTTTTTGAATAAAAAATGATAGATATCTGAATTACAAATACAAATAATTTATAAATAATATAAAAAAACGCATATTTTTAAAATGATGTAGAATTTTTACAGCTAAAATTCTGTAAATCAAGTACCAAACAGAAATAACTAATTTATTTTTTTTTTAATATTTTGGCGGCATTATCGTTTGATAAACGAGTTTCATAATCGTGTGCAATTTTGCTTTAATTCGTTTAAGAGGTTTCAAAGATATGACGAACAATGCAAAAAGCTAAATTAGCAATAAAGGGTTGAGTATTGGGTATACTATAGCCTACGTCACAGGTTGTGTTATTCCTACTAAATTTAACCCATGAACGGCATTTTCAGCGAGCCTAACTTCAAGCCACAAATAAACAAACGAAGTGTTTGATCGTTTAAATAGCTGCTCGCCAGATTTTATTGCATTATAA